TGTTTTTGTATTATTATTCGCTTATAGCGAACTCCGGATATAACGAACCAGTTTTAGTTCATTTTTCAAGTTCGTTATATCCGGACTCAACTGTATTTCCTTCCTGGATTTCAGTCAGTGTGAAATAAAAATTGTATATCGTATATTTCATTTTAAGTTTAAAACCTTGAAGCCTCAAGGGTTTAAGACAGGAAATACCTAAAAGAATCTAATGTTTCCCAATTATGAGTTTGTATGAATTTTAACTCTGATGATGGCGCTGTTGTCTCGCCGAAACGTTATGAAATAAACGATATAAAATTTTTATTTCACACTGACTGAAACCCAGGACGGCAAAGAATATAATAACAATTACACGCAGTCAGGAAAATAAATCAAAATAAAAAGTACGGCATTCCATTAAAAAAATCTGGGATCAGCTCAGACGCAAGTGTCCAATAGAAAAACTTGCGGAACTTTCCATTCTAATGAAAAGCGACAACCGTTCCATTCAGATACCATTACTTACACCCATGTGGGAATACTGGCTTAGTCGATTTCATAGAACCGGCCTGCTGATTATAACCGACGCCTGCAGAAACAATAGTGAATAAATTACTGAAAACGAGCACATGCTGGCAGTACCAGCAACTAAGACGACAAACGAGCTTCTATTGTTATTATTGTTGCGTGAATGACCGCAAAAATCAGTGTTAATTCTATTTCGGAAACGATTTGTGATAAGCTGATAAGCCGTTGGATGAGGCGCGGAACATCTGCTTTAAGCTCGTCTATCAGATGTCCTGAGATTGTTGAACGTTTGCTGGTCATGTGCGTAAGCCTTGGACTTTGTTGCTAACTAACCGGCTAAGGTAAGCAGATAAGAAGCCATTTAATTTGTCGAAAGTTTAGTTATTTTGTTCTATCAGACTTGCGTGCCTGCTCGGCTATTTCGAGATTGGCTCCACTCCAGGCAATTGTTAACGTCAGCTATTCCTCAGCTGTTGCGAATCATTGCGAAATTCCGATGAATGTTTTCATGAACTTTGAGGAAAATGCGACGATTTACGATAGTTGGAGTGTTAGAAGGGCGATTCTTGAATGGATGAGTTTGTGGAAATGTATGTTGAAACCGAGGAGGAAATTTTACGGTTTTCTGATGAAGGTCTTGTTACGAAGCGAATGGGGTTCTTAAGTCCGCTTAATCCTTAAGCAATCACAAAAATCATCCACAAACACTTGCAGATTTGACGCTCTTGTTTGATAGGCATTTAGTTTGCCTAAGTAAAACCCAAATATTTCTTTTCGTCATGGGGCCCAGACTTTAGGTGAAAAGGGTCCAAATTGAGGGCAAAACTATTCCGCTGTAGGCGCAAGCAACACCTTCAAAATGATCGCACTTAATCCCGAAATCTGATGACTCGGCTAAAAAACCCCTTCCATCGGCTATTTGCCTCCCTTATCTCTGTTTGATTTATCTTTAGCCTCCAATTAATTAATACTTAAGTTGTTATTCAATGACTTACTCTTTAGTGACATTGTTCCCTGTCCACAAGTGCTTAGGTGCGGTTTCAGCCTCTTCTAATGCCCACACATGGAGGACGTAAAAGAAGCCGAGGCGCGCAAGAGCGACAAGCGGACCCACCCCTTTCAAACTGCCGGCATATTTTCGAAAATCTTCTTCACGTGAGTAGCAATCGCTCGAAAAACTCCCAGCTTACATAACATTTTCAGATGGATGCTGTCACTCTTCGTCAAAGGCTTCAAGAAGGACCTGCTAGAGGAGGATTTGTATCCTCATCTGCCTGCCCATGAGTCCACTTACCTGGGGGATAAACTGGAGCGGGAATGGGCGAAGGAGTTGAAGAGGAACGCAAAGGAGCCATCGCTGTGGAGGGCGCTGAGCGGTGTTTTCGGCAAGCAGCTGCTGGTGCTGGCCTGTTGCTACTTCTTCAGCGAACTGTTCGTGAAGTGAGTCGCCATAAAGGGCTGAGTGTTGTGAACTGCACCCATGGGGGTTTCAGGCTGGGGCAGCCGCTCTTCCTCTCCAAACTTCTGGAATACTATGAGCCAGGGTCCAGCATGAGCAAGTCGGAGGCCTACTATTATGCTGCGGGCATTGCTCTGTGCTCCTTCATCACCCAAACCTTCCAGCACTCGTTCATGCTGCACAACTTCCACCTAGGTGAAGTTTGCACAAACATTCGGTGTTCAACAATAATTTGTGCGGTTTCAATGCAGGAATGAAAATCCGGGTAGCCACCTCCGCTTTAGTCTACCGCAAAGCGCTGCGGCTCAGCAAGGGGGCCCTGGCCGAAACCACAGTAGGCCAAATGGTTAATCTCATCTCGAATGATGTGGGTAGATTCGAGCTTGTTACCACCCATATCCACAGCCTCTGGATGGCGCCAGTTGAGACCTCAGTGGTTCTCACCTTGATCTACTTCTACGTGGGGCCTACTGGGATGATCGGGGTGCTGCTGATGTTCCTCTTCATCCCCTTGCAAAGTGAGTAGCAGTGGACGAATCTCCTTGATATGTGACCGCGGGGTTTCAGTGTGGATGGGCAAGAAGACGTCGGAATATCGGCTGGCGACCGCCCTGCGAACCGACGAAAGGATTCGCCTGATGAACGAGATCATCGGAGGGATGCAGGTCATCAAAATGTACACTTGGGAGAAGCCTTTTGCTAAGCTGGTGGAATTCACTAGGCGGTAGGTGTATGTTGAAGATTGAACCGAGATGAAGCCCTTCAATTGCAGGCGCGAGATCCAGCAAATCAAGAAAATCTCCATCATTCGCGGCATCATGATGTCCTTCAACTTGTTCCTGAATAGATCCTCAATCTACATCTGCGTTGTCACCTATGTGCTCACGGGGAGCATCCTGAACGCCCAGTACGTCTACGTGCTACAGTCGCTCTATGGAGTGCTGCGGATGTCGGTCACCATGTTCTTCCCCCAAGGGATCACGCAGGTGGCCGAGGCCAACATCTCGGTGAAGCGGCTGAAGAAGTTCCTTCTCTATGAGGAAGTAGCGGTTGACTCCAGCGCCACATTCTTCAACGGCATCCAATCGAAGGAGCAACTGAAGTCTTCCAAGTCTGAAGGCCCCGTTGGCATCCACATGAACAGGGCCTGCTTCAAGTGGATTAAGTCGCGCAACGATAACACTCTTCAGGACATTGACGTGCAGGTGGGCGCCCAAGAATTGGCTGCAATCATTGGACCAGTAGGGAGTGGAAAGACCACGCTCCTCCATGCAATTCTGGGTAAACGGAAACTTTAGTATATTAATCCAGCATGAAGTAACTGGTGCATTCCCTAGGCGAGTTGGTTCCGTTGTCTGGAACTGTGCAGGTCACGGGGAAAGTCTCCTACGCCTCCCAAGAGCCGTGGCTCTTTGTCGGCAGCGTGAGGCAAAACATCACCTTTGGCCAAAATTATGACGCCCGCAAGTACCACGAAGTGGTGCGAGTTTGTCAGCTCCAAAGGGACTTCAGCCTCTTCCCCTACGGGGACCGCACGGTTGTAGGAGAGCGAGGGGTGTCCCTCAGCGGAGGCCAAAGAGCGCGCATCAATCTGGCCCGGGCTGTTTACAAAGACGCCGACATCTACCTACTAGACGATCCCCTATCGGCAGTAGATGCCCATGTAGGGAAGCAGATGTTTGAAGAATGCATCACTGGCTACCTGAAGAACAAGTGCGTGATCCTGGTCACCCATCAGCTGCAGTATTTGAAGAACGTCCAGAAAATCTACCTGTTTGGGCACGGGAAGATCGACCGCTCTGGGACGTACGAGCAGCTGCAGAACGCCGGCACTGAATTCACTCAGCTGCTCAACGACCTCAAGGACATAATAGATGATGAGGAACCGGATAAGGAAGAAGAGCCAGCATTTGTGGACGTGGTGCCTTCGAAGCGCCTCAGGCGAATATCCACCAAAGAAGTGCTGCCAAAGGAACAAGACAAGGTATGTGGAGTGTCAAAGTTGGAGGGCACAGTGGGGATTGATTATGGCCTGATTCAGGAGCAAAAGCTGGAAAAAGAGAGCAGAGGAGAAGGCACCATTTCATGGACAATCTACAAGTCCTACTTCGTTTCTGGTGGCCACTGGTGCAAAATCCTAACTCTCTTTATAATCTTTGTGATGTCTCAAGGTTTGGGGAGTTTGGCTGACTATTTCCTCACCGTCTGGTAAGGAAGCCGAGAACTGCTGGCTCTAAATGGGTTTTCACGTTTTGCCCTTCCAGGGTCAACATGAATCAACTCAGCAAGGCTGGAGAGGGCCTGGCCGGTGCAAACAGCACTGCAGTTGATCTGCCAGTTTTCCAGGATTTCTGGATTAACACCTTGAACAACGACATGCTGCTGACGTTCTACAGTGCCATCATTTTCCTGCTAGTCACACTCACCATTGGTCGATCGCTGGCTTTTTACCGTTTCTGCAACAAAGCCTCCGTCAGGCTGCACAACAACATGTTCAACAAGATCGTACATGGCACCATGCGGTTCTTCAATGTGAATCCTTCCGGGCGCATTCTGAATCGCTTCTCCAAGGACATGAACCAAGTGGATGAAGTTCTGCCCATGACTTTGCTGGATACTTTGCAGGTGAGTGTGAAGCGCAGTGGTTTTTGCCTTGAATTTCGCAATTTTTCCCAGATTTCCATGAACGTCTGCTTCATCAGCATCGTGGTGGCCTCCGTTAACCCCTGGATGATGCTGCCCACCGTTATCATGCTCACTATTTTCTACTTTTTGAGGGTGGTTTTCCTGGCGACCAGTCGCAACATCAAGCGACTGGAAGGGATCAGTAAGCATATGCTGGATAAACGCCGCTGGGCGACTAGTAATTGTGGAGTTTTGCAGCTAGAAGCCCCGTATATTCGCACCTTACAGCCTCCCTGCAAGGTCTGACCACCATCAGGGCATTTGGAGCCCAGGAAATCCTCAAAAGTGAATTCGACAACTACCAGAACGCCTATAGTTCCGCCTACTTTATGTTTCTGGGTGCGAATCGGACGTTTGGGTTCTGGCTGGATATGCATTGCGTGATCTTCATCAGTTTGGTCACCTTAAGCTTCCTGGTGATGGACACAGGTGGGTTGGGATTTGCTCTCCTAACATAGAGGATATAAAGAGGTTTGTAGAGACAATGGGCGGCAACGTGGGGCTGGCCATAACTCAGGCAATTCAGCTAACTGGGATGTTCCAATGGGGGATGAGGCAGTGGAGCGAACTGGAAAACACCATGACTTGCGTGGAGAGGATCAAGGAGTACGCCGATGTGGTTCCAGAGCAGGATCCTGAGTCCGAAGACCCGCCAGCTTATTGGCCGAATGAGGGCGGTTTGAGGTTTGAGGACTTGAGTTTGCGATATGCCTCAGGGGAGGATTTGGTGCTCAAGAATCTCACCTTTGAGGTGAAGAGGGCGGAGAAAGTGGGCATTGTTGGCAGGACGGGGGCTGGAAAGTCGTCCATCATCATCGCCCTGTTCAGGCTGGCCATCAATGAGGGCAGGATTATTGTTGATGGCCTGGATACAGCCAAAGTCAGTTTCAGAAGGCTGCGATCCAGCATCTCAATCATCCCTCAGGAGCCAGTGCTCTTTTCAGGCACTCTGAGGAAGAATCTGGATCCCTTCGACGAGTACAGTGACGAGGTAAGGTTTTGCATCATGTCCAAAGAAGTAATTCTGATGGAGGATCACCTTTAGGTGCTGTGGAACTCGCTGGAGCAGGTGGAGCTGAAACCAGCGGTATCAGAACTTCCCCAGGGCCTGGAAAGCCGGATGTCGGAAGGCGGATCCAACTTTAGCGTGGGACAACGGCAGCTGGTGTGTCTGGCCAGAGCAATCGTGCGAAAGAACAAAATCCTCGTCCTGGACGAGGCCACGGCCAATGTGGACCCCCACACAGATGCCCTTATTCAGACCACCATCCGGGACAAGTTTGCCTCTTGCACTGTGCTGACGATAGCGCACCGATTGCACACGATCATGGATTCGGACAAGGTTCTGGTCATGGACGCGGGAAGAGTGGTGGAGTTTGGCCATCCTCATGAACTGCTGCTGAAGAAGGAGGCCGGAGTTTTTTACGACCTGGTCCAGCAAACTGGCAAAGCCATGGCGGAGAACTTGGCGGGGATTGCTGAGGAGGTGGGTCTTCTTGGTGATCCAGGAACGGTGATCGAGTGAGGATTTAATGTCTTCTGTTGCAGGCCCACAGGAAAACCAGAAGTTAGGCGCCCTTGGAGCTTAGCGCTGCTGAGCACGGCGCGTAAACTGAGTCTGTGATGGTTTAAGTACCTTCCTTCCTACTAAATATGAAGAGTTTTGATGTGGAGACACTGTGACCTTAATAAAAATTCATTAAAGTTGTCTTAAACCCGAAACTTTTCTTCAAAGCCCACTTATTTCAGGATTAAGCGGGTGACTGCCCAAAATCGGCAGCAATGGAAATTGAACTGTAGTTGCAGGAACTTTCGTTTGTGATGAAAAATACCTCAGTTGAGATATACAATTTTTAACAACTCTGAATAAATAATATAACTAGGGAAATTAAATTTTCGACTCACACTAGAGTTCTTGCCGCTCTCTGAGATAACGAGTTATAACTCATCGGTTAATGAGTTATGAGTCATTGATTAAAGCTTTACGAGATCCCAGACGGGAATTTTATCATCTTAAAAAAAGGTCATGAACATTTTTTATAAGTAACGTTTTACTACTTTTTCCAAACAAGTAAGAAAGGACATATAGATTTTCTCAGCAACAGCATTTAGTCTAAAGAAAGTAGACGAGTTTTCTTGTAAAATCGATCAATTAATTTTTTCGCATAAAGGACTCAGTTTGCCAGTATTTTACAGTAAAACGCTGAAAAAACGCGGATTTTCTGTTGAGAGATAATTTTGTTGAGAAATATTGACCCTAAAGTGCAGAAACCCCAGTTTCCAAGACTTTTCCAAATAAATTATTATAAACTGTCGCTTTTTATGTTCGGGGAAATATGTTTGAGAAAATTAATTTTGTAATTTTTGTCTGAAAAGACCTCAGTATTGTCAGAAATGAAGAAAATCATCAGAAAATAATGCTTTTTTGCATTTTCGATTAAAAACTTTCAGTTTTATGATCGGTTTTGGAGAAAACCTTAATGGTTTTCGGGAAACCCGGGAGGAATATATTTTCGTTTTTGTCCCGAATACGACGCTGAAAAAAGGTTTTTGTAAAATTCCTACAAAGCTATAAATTTCGCTTGTAATTTTTCGCGTAAAAGACTCCAGATCGTCAGTATTTTTAAGTGAAACTGTACAAAATAGAGCGTTTTTGAGTTGAAAGTAAAGCAAAAAAAAATCAGACAAAACTAAAAATCCACTTTTATTCACAAACTCTACAGTCTTCAGAGGTTGACTGTAGGTGACAAGTTTTTCAAATAATTTATTATAAACTTTCGCTTATTCTATTGAATTTTGATAGAAAAATTATTTGATTTTTGTCCCAAGTTCGACGCTGGAAAGTGATTTGAAAACTTTTTTACAAAGCGCCGAAGGAGGCGAGTGTTTTAACAACATTTATTTCAAAATTTTTCGCGGAAGGACCTTGTTATTGTCGGTATTTACAGTTAAACGTGAGTGCAAATTGAGCGTTTAGAAGAAAGAGTAACTAAAACTAAAACTGTAAAATTCTGAAATTTAGAAAAAACTTTCAAAATGTTATTAATAAACAGCTCTTAAAATAAATTTAAAAGCAACAAAAAAATGGTCATCAACATTTTCCCACCACCAAAACTGAGTTAATGCGCCGGTGCGTTGGGTTGGCGCTCCAAGCCATTTGCGCAGCACTGCGCCAACTCCTAAAAGTCCTAAAAATATAAAGTAAATAAATTGTAATCGCGCCAGTCGTCTTCGATGCAAAAAATCCAGATAAATCATTAGCGCGTATTTTTTGTTTTATTGAAAAGTATCAAATGCTAAATATTCCGGTATGTTTCCGCTGCAATTCAACCGCTTTTGCTGTTTTAATCCAAAAACTGTCCTTTCTAACAGAAATAGTCAAGACGACTTTTTGTTCCCAACTGAATGCAGAATTGAAAAATCAATTTTATTTGCAGGAAAATCCTTCTGGAGAAAAATATTGCGTTAATTTTCTCGTACTATTCAACGGCTTTTTTTAAATGAAAAGCTGTAAATTGTAGGAGAAAAACTCACTGAAAGCAGAATTTTCTTGCACACTGAAAGTTGAATTAAAAAAAAAAAATAGTTGGCAAACAACCATTGGCGCATACTGTTTTTTTCCTAGAAAGTATCGAATGCTAAATATTACTGTAATTCCCTCGGACAATACAACGGTTTGTATTTTTTTTTCACAGAAAACCGTGCATTCTAGACGAAAAACCCTAAAGCGCTTTTTTGCTGCCAACCGAATAATACATTGAAAAATTGTTTTTTTCTGCAGAAAACGCATTGGGGTGCCGGTTTTTTATTTCTGGAAAATATCAAAGAGAAAAAATTGTATTTTTTCGGCGACAAGACAACAAATTAATTTTATCCCAGAAACTGGGCATTTTAGCAGAAAAATGCAAAAGTCTTTTTTTTTATAATATGTATGTGCAGAAAAGACCGCTAAGCGCCAGGACACGCATAAGAAACCGTTTCCCACACATCGTCTACAAACCAAAAAAAGCGGGGTTCTTCTTAAAAATTTCAAAATCCAAAACAATTTTTCTGATCTGCTTGTAATTTCTCGGCGCCTACATAAGAGACTTGCACAATATTGTGTAATTCGTGGTACACACACACATACACACACACAAATGGATTTAAAATTTCATGGAAATCGAAGAACAACACTCTCCAAATCTGCCTACACATTGTTGAAATTGGCTTACTGAACGTGGCAACTCAAGTATTTACGTAGAATGGGTCCCACGATAGTTTTCCTTTGATAAGCAGCAATCAGGTCGGCAGCGCACCGAACTGAGCGTCCATATAAACAATTTAAAGTGTATTTAAAGATTAAACTTTCGTCTTGTTGCCACAATGAAAACCCGAAATTATCAGCACTTATTTGCACACTCGATCGTTTCATTCGAGGCGCTGCAATGGAGAGTGTGGAAAAGACCAAAAGTGACCCCAAGTCCCATCCATATCTCAAGGCAAATGTGTTTTCCAAAGTGTTTTTCATGTAAGTCCCAACCGGCCAGCCTGCCATTTGCTAGTGTTTCCTCCTCATTTACATGGTTCCAGATGGACGTTCCCCCTGTTCAAAAAAGGCCTCAAACGAGATCTGCTCGAAGAGGATCTGTATCCTTCTTTAGCTTCACACGACTCCAGCTACCTGGGCGACAAACTGCAGCTGCAATGGCAGAAGCAAATGAGCAACAAGACCAAAAACCCCTCGTTATGGCGGGCGCTTGTAGGGGTTTTTGGTAAGCAGATGTTCCTCCTGGGCCTCGCTTATCTAGCAATCGAGGTGCTTGTACGGTAAGTCTAGACCAACTGTGCAATTATACGATTAATATTGCTAGCAGGGGAAAAATTGCTATAATTTGTTGCTTTGGAATGGTGCAAACTATCTAGTTCCAGTTGCCGTTGCCACGGCAGCGGCCTTTTCATTGGCCCTGGCCTGCAGTGACGCGGCGATTGCGTGAGAAATGGATCAACTGCACCATTGCTTAGGTCCAGGGGCACAATAAAACACGTTTGTGTTGAGCTCGCTTCTCAACTGCTCCAAATCAATTTGGAGCCTGATTCTAAAATTGAATTAACATGTTTAATTGAGTTTTTTGCGCTTTGTCAGGTCTTCTGCCTTTTTCTTCCCTCTATTAGACAAATCGTCCCCATCTTTCTGGGGCCTTTCCGTACTTCTGCTTCATGATTTGTCCTGTGCAATCCTCTCCTTTCTCCTTTTGCCCATTATGTGTTCATTCTTTTTCACATCGCTGGTTTCTGGAAGGATTTTTGTTTTTGTTGTGTCCGGTCGAGTCTCTGCTGAATTGGTCTGCATGGGTCTAATGACACTTTTGAATATTCTCCTTTTCTAATATATTTTCCTTTGTTGCATTTTTATGCTCTATGACTTCGTCAGTATCTTTTCTTTGATATCCTCAAGAGGGTTTAAATTTGAACCTTCCAAGAAGTAGTCTGTCATAAGTATCTAACTCTATAACATTTTCCCGACGAATTTGCGATCAATTGCTTTCTGCAGCTCCATAACACACATGTAGCCTGGTTTGTTGCATTCAAACGACTTCTGCATTTAAAACCACTAATCTAACCAAACATCCTTTATATGGCGCAGTCGGTAGGATTGAGGAGACCCACTCTTATACGTCAACCGGTAATAACCGAGGACTTTTTCAGACTAACAACGCCACTGTTCCTCGCCCAACTGCTCAAGTACTACGAGCCCGACTCCTCAATGTCTAAGACAGAGGCGTATTACTACGCCACTGGAATAGTGGCCTGCACGTTCCTCTCAGCTGCATTTCAACACACTTATATGCTCCACAACTTCCATTTGGGTAGGTCAGTCTCACAGAAGTAATGAGTTTTAAGTGAGATTCCTTCCAGGTATGAAAATTCGTGTAGCAACATCCGCTCTGATCTACCGCAAGGCTCTGAGGCTGAGCAAAAGCGCGCTAGCTGAAACCACAGTGGGCCAAATGGTGAATCTCATTTCCAACGATGTGGGGCGTTTCGAAATGGCGACTGTTCACTTACACAACATCTGGCTGGCGCCTCTTGAGACTCTGATCGTTCTGATTCTCATGTACTTCTTTGTGGGGCCGACCGGGATGATCGGCATCCTCTTCCTGCTCGCTTTTGTGCCTTACCAAAGTGCGTAAATATTTTGCGTTTTTTTCGAGTAATGGTAAGCGGGGTTGCAGTGTACATGGGCAAGAAGACCTCCATCTACCGACTGGCCACCGCGATTAAAACCGACGAAAGAATTCGGTTGATGAACGAAATCATCAGCGGCATCCAGGTTATCAAGATGTACACCTGGGAGAAGCCCTTTGCCAAGCTGGTGGAGATCAGCAGAAAGTACTGAGCGGAAAACCATGTAGATACCATTTGAAAATGAAAGTTTTCCAGGAAGGAAATGGAGCAGATCAAGAAAATCTCGGTTATCCGGGCCATATTGACGTCCTTCAGTCTCTTCGTCAACAGCACGGCCATCTACTCCTGCATCCTCGCTTATGCCCTAACGGGAAACGTGTTGAACGCTCAATACGTCTACATATTGCAGTCCTTCTACGGCATTCTCCGCTTCAACCTCACGGTGTTTTTCCCGCAGGGAATCACCCAGTTTGCTGAAGCGAACATTTCAGTGAACAGGATCAGGCAGTTCTTGACCTACCAGGAAGTCGACTTTGATTCCAGTGCCCCTCTGGGGAGGCCCAATGAAAATTCCCACTCCGTGGGGATTTTCATGAAAAACGCCTGCATTCGCTGGGTAAAATCCAGCCCGGAGAACAATCTGGAAAACCTCAACGTCCAAGTGGGACCTGGGGAGCTGGCGGTAGTAATTGGCCCAGTGGGCAGCGGAAAAACCACCCTGCTTCATGGAGTTCTGCAAGAATTGGTTGTCCAGTCGGGTACTATAAGCGTCAAAGGGCGCACTTCCTATGCCTCCCAGGAACCTTGGCTGTTTGTGGGCAGCGTCCGCCAGAACATCCTCTTCGGACAACCTTTCGCCTCTCAACGCTACCATGAAGTTGTGAAAGTCTGCCAACTTCAAAGGGACTTCAGCCTCTTTCCCTATGGAGATCAGACGATTGTAGGAGAGCGAGGAGTGTCCCTCAGCGGAGGCCAAAGGGCGCGCATCAATCTGGCCCGGGCTGTTTACAAAGAAGCCGATATTTACCTACTAGATGACCCGCTATCGGCTGTAGATGCCCACGTAGGGAAGCAGCTGTTTGAAGAATGCATCATTGGCTATTTGAAGAACAAATGTGTCATCCTGGTCACACATCAGCTACAGTACTTGAAAAATGTGCAGAAGATTTACCTGTTGGGGGACAATAGGATTGAGCAAGCGGGCACCTACGCGGAAATCCAGCAGTCTGGAAAGGAGTTCACTAAGCTGCTAAACGAGCTGAAGGATATAATTGATGATGAGGAGGAAGTGGAAGAGGATGTGGAGGATGATGTTAAACCACTAAGGCGAAGGCGGATGTCCACAAAAGAAGTGGTGCCAAAGGACGACAAGGTAAAAGAATTAGCCCCTGCCCATCCTTCTGATAATGAGGCTTTGTCCTCCTCATCCAGCTACCAGCACTGGAAAGAGAAAGCCGAGGCGAAGGGACGGTGTCTTGGAACGTCTACACGTCCTATTTCACATCCGGGGGTCACTGGTGCAAAATCCTCACGTTGTTCATCACGTTTGTCGCCGCCCAATTTTTGGCCAGTTCGGTGGACTATTTCCTCACTGTCTGGTGAGTAGTTTCATCTAAAATTCACCTGCCCACTCAAAGGGGTACTTACCCTTTGCAGGGTGAACATGAACCAGATAAAGAACTCCCCATCCCACGTGGAAACAGCCTTTCAAAGCTTCTGGCTCACAACAATGACTGACCACGTTGTTCTGATCGCCTACACCGTCCTAATTGGTCTGGTTATTGTCCTCACCGTTGGACGATCGCTGGCTTTCTATCGCTTCTGCAACAAAGCCTCCGTCAGGCTGCACAACAGCATGTTCTTCAAAATCGTGCACGCCACCATGCGCTTCTTCAACAACAACACCTCCGGTCGCATCCTCAACAGATTCTCCAAAGACATGAATTTAGTTGATGAGGTCTTGCCCTTGACCTTACTGGATACCCTACAGGTAGCAGCATTACAAAGGCGTTGGCTGGAAGCTACTGAACCTGACTGAGTTTGAAAATTTAGATTTCTTTGAACGTGATTGCCATCACTGTATTGGTAGCCACAGTCAATCCCTGGATGCTGCTGCCCACTGTTGTCATTCTGGGGATTTTCTATGGCCTTCGAGTGGTTTTTCTGGCTACTAGCAGGGACGTTAAGAGGCTGGAGGCAATCAGTGAGTTGTTAACGGTTTTAAAGGCCCAGGGTTTTTATTTGATGTTTCCCAGCTAGGAGTCCCGTTTACTCCCACTTGACAGCCTCGCTGCAAGGTCTGACCACCATCAGGGCATTCGGAGCGCAGGCGATTCTCAACAATGAGTTCGACCACTATCAGAACGCCCACAGTTCGGCTTACTTCATGTTTCTGGCAGCCAATCGCTCCTTCGGATTTTGGCTGGATATGTATTGCGTCATTTTCGTCGCCTTAGTGACTTTCAGTTTTCTCTTCTTGGACACAGGTGGGTGCTGCACCAGGTTTACTCCCATCTCTCCCTAAATGGTGGATTTTTTCCAGAATCTTTCAGCGGCAACGTCGGACTGGCAATCACGCAGTCAGTAAGCTTGACTGGGATGTTCCAGTGGGGAATGAGGCAGTGGAGCGAGCTGGAAAACTCCATGACTTGCGTGGAGAGGATCAAGGAGTATGCCGATGTGGTTCCAGAGCAGAATCCCGACTCCAAAGACCCGCCAGTTTATTGGCCGACTAATGGAGGCGTGAGGTTTGAGAAGCTGAGCTTGAAATATTCCCCGCGGGAGGCTTTTGTGCTGAAGAATCTCACCTTTGAGGTGAAGAGGGCGGAGAAAGTGGGCATTGTTGGCAGGACTGGAGCTGGCAAGTCGTCCATCATCATCGCCCTGTTCAGGCTGGCCATCAATGAGGGCAGGATTATTATTGATGGCCTGGATACAGCCAAAGTCAGTTTCAGGAGGCTGCGTTCCAGCATCTCAATCATCCCCCAGGAGCCAGTGCTGTTTTCAGGCACTCTGAGGAAGAACTTGGATCCGTTTGATGAGTTTTCTGATCAGGTGCCACTAAACTTTACAATAACCCGCAGAAGCAATTAATGCCAGCTTTATTGCAGTGCATTTGGGGCGCTCTTGAGGAGGTGGAGTTGAAAGCCGCCGTTTCCAGCCTTCCTCAGGGCCTGGAAAGCCGGATGTCCGAAGGAGGCTCCAACTTCAGTGTGGGCCAAAGGCAGCTGCTCTGCTTGGCCAGAGCCATCGTTCGGAAGAACAAAATTCTGGTCCTAGATGAAGCCACAGCTAATGTGGATCCTCAGACTGACGCCCTCATTCAGCAGACCATCCGGAGGAAGTTCCGCAGCTGCACTGTGCTGACGATAGCGCACAGATTGCACACGATTATGGATTCGGATAAGGTTCTGGTGATGGATGCAGGAAGAGTGGTGGAGTTTGGACATCCGCATCAGCTGCTGCTGAAGGAGGACGGAGTGTTTTTCCAGCTGGTGCAGCAAACTGGCAAAGCCATGGCGGAGAATTTGAGCGCCATTGCTGAAGAAGTAGGTAAAGCAAGGTGATAACCACAACTTCCCTAACTGGGTTTTCATTGGAATTGCAGAACTATGCGCATATTGCAGCTGAGTAGCAGCAGCAGTGGTCCATTAGAGAAGATGTCCCTGGACATTTAGGGTACTACTGAACATTGAGATTTTATTTATTTATTTAAATTTAGTGTCTTTCAAAAGAGGGACGATTGCCTAGTGGGATGGGAAGGCATCACTTGCCTGAAATTACGCACAAAGTTATATTAAAATAATAATTTTATTGCTAACAATGTACGTCCTGCAAGTTCCAAAGGGACGTGAACAACCCACTCCTAAACCTCTGTCTACCATACTCTGCATTTATTCTCGGGATTCATCCGGGACCCGGCCGGACAGCTGAACACGCGCGCAAACTCGTCCGAGTTACTAAACGGTCCCTGGATCCTAAATCGGGCCGGCGAGTGGTACCCGGTAAGAATGCGCAGCCTCAGCGTTTCCGAACGGTACTTTGCGCACCAGCTATTGCTGGCGGAGATCCAGAACATCTGATTGGGCGTGTAATTCAGGCCGGGCAGTTGGGGTTCCACCCCATTTCGTTTCGTCCACTTCTGGTACGCCAGGTAGGCCTCCTTTACTCCTCCGTTGTCGGCAATGTTTTCGCCTTGGGTGTTGATGCCGTTCAACTAAAAGCAACAGGGGCAACTGTTAGGATGAACACGCTCTGATTAGTTTTACTAGTGGGGCAAAGAGCACACTAGTGGTGACCTGCCTGGGGACTCTCTGGGCCGTCCAGGCAGCCAGACCTACGCCTGAGTCAGAAAATGGACACTCTTAGGAGTTTAAGTTCCAGTTTCTTGACCGATKTCGAATAATTGCAAGATGGTTGATTTTCTTGGGAATTSGGTCTGGGCAGYGGTGAAGAAAAACWTTTTTAGCTACCAAGCTTTCGGCAATTTATTGTCGCCTTCCTCAGGACAGGAAGAGTTATTGCATAACACATCTGATTGAAATTTATTATATTTTWTCTTTCCTGGGTCTCAGTTAAAAGGTGAAATARAAATGTTCATATCGTTTATTTCSTAAATTCATGTTTCAAAACGGTGGCTGMAATCGAAAGTTTTTCTGCKTAAAGAAGATACTTTGGGCCACAAAATGCAACCGAAGTTTTGTGTATTGTTTTGTTTTGTTTTGRTTTTTCTTTTTTTCCCATAAAAAAATGTTGGATTTGTCATGTCGAAAAGAAACCGAAAGAAAKCAATGAATCTAATCGAAAGAAAAACAAAAACATTTAAAAAAGTGACTGAAGAAATAAATAACCARCAAGTTTACAATCAGCCAAAAAGCGCAAACAAATGAACAAAACAAATTAAGAACAATTTTACAGAACGTTTTMKGTGCTGATTTAATTGATGATTRATTGAAAATGTGAAAAAATACATTTGAAAAGTTTRATAAACTWAAGTTGAAGTCAAAAGAGCGTCTAAACAGAAAGCGAAGCMCGAAAAAAATGTGATAAAWGAAAAGTTAAAGAAACGTAAAATAATAAAAAATTAGGAAAATTAAAATGAATGCGTTCAGTGACAAAATTCACAAACGRGTAACAAACAAGATAAAATTYATACAAGTAAYAATGAAAAAAACKAAATTAAAAACARCAAWTAAAAKAATAATTTTAGTAYATTTTCGACACAAACGAKCTTAAAAAATTAGAYGYTTTAACCAGACATAMRATTAAAAAATTAGTTTTCAAATTAGAAARTTTGAAATCTTYGACTCCAGATGTTTTATGAAATCTTTTATCGAGAAGAACGYTTTTYCATAGGAAGCTTAGTTTAGTTGTAYAAAAAAATTAAATATAAGAACGGAAAAAATTGCAAAGGACAACTGATGAAAACATGAAGAATGAAAATTACAAATTCCTCGTTTATTGTTTACTCTGAGCGAAAAGTGAATACCAGTTTTTTGAGGWGCTTTCGTTGTTGAGCAATTTTGAGTTTTTTGGAAAAGCATTTTCGCGATTTTTTCGAAAACTGTTAGGAATGCAACATTGGAAAAATGCAGAGGGAAACTCATAAAGACATGAAGTTAAAAAAGTGCAAGTTCCTCTTAAAAAGAGGTGAGGTAAGAGGAATTTTAGAGGTCTTTTTGTCCTCCTTCTTCAGCGGCAGCTGATGCGGATATCCAAACTCCACCACTCTGCCTGCATAAAAAAAAAAAACCCACTTTAGGCAAAGCCAAAAAGAATCTAATGTTTCCCATTTATGGGTTTGTGTTGAATTTTAAATCCGATGATGGTGCTGTGGTCTCGCCGAAACGTAATATGAAATAAACGATATGAACATTTTTATTTCACATTTTGAGTGAAACGCAGCAAAGAAAAATATATTAACAATTACACGCAGTCAGAAAAATCATTAAAAAAATTGAAATTTATGCATAAACTCTTCCAGCCCTGAGGAGGGCGACCATAAAGTTGCCGAAAGCTTGGTAGCTGAAAAAGTTTTTCTTTTCTTCACCACTGCCCAGACCGAATTCCCAGGAATTCAACCATCTTGCAATGACTTAAGAGTTTAATCGTGTGAAGATTTAAGGTTCAAGCACTTACCATGGAGGCCTGTAGGCAAGCTGCAACTACAGGGTGTACCAAGTTAAAAGTGCAATTAATTCTCTGTTTTTATATACAGTGGGTTCCAGAAGAAAGTCAAAATTCAAATTTATTTACACAGGGTGGCCCTAAAATAAGCACCTGCTTCTACCATAACAGCAGGACTCGAGGCATTATTTCTGAGACTCTCTGCATATGAAGTCGAGAAAGTTGCAGTGATCTAATTTGTTACACCCTGTATAGTAAACTATGTACAATATGTCCAGTTTGGGTGCACAGCTTACAAGTCACTTATGTACATGCCGCTTAGCATTCAAATTACTACATGGACAAGCCACACATTGAGGAAACACAACTACTACTCCCGTCACCTGCACACTAAGCCAGGAAAACGACACTCTTGGGGGTTTTATCGTTTATTAAAAACATTAAAGACACAAACAATAAATTATCGTTAATTTGGCAAGCAGGAGGCATTTCAACATTTCAATTCGGCAACATATACAGGGTGTTTATTTACGAATAATTCCCTGGCGGACTCGAGACGTGGAGATACGAAATTAGTTAAATTAGGGCAAAGTTATGAAAAACTAAACGGAATTTTGAATTTTTCACAGTGAGATACAGTGTTTTTCAAATGCTAAGTTAGTTTTTTATTTACATTGGGCATAAATATCAGAAATAAGTAATTAAATGGCAACGTGGCACTACATGTATGTGAATCACCCTGTATATGCGACAATCAGTGCAAAATCAAGGCGGATTATCAAGTTTCCACTTCAGTTCTGGTGGACAAAGCCGTTCAGGAACTTCAAAGTTTTTTGGTTAGCGCCAACTTTATTGCCCCCCACTTGCCCCGCCACAGCTTAAATCTAGTTAGGGAGTAAAAAGCACCATTTACAGAGTACCGTTAAACTGCCGCTCACTGGGTGGCTTAATACTGACTTTTTGGGAGAATCGAGTCAATAATGGGTGGCGTGTTATTATGGGAAGACGGAAGCTGCCCAGGGACCCTGATGCAGAGTATCGCCTGCAGGCAACTCTCCCCTTTGGAATTGAGCCTGTTTCAACCGAAAACTGTACAAGTTGCTACGTGTAATCCTAAACTAAGTACATATAAGGGCAAATCACAGTGCGGGCAAGCGGACAGGACGAGCCCTACCACACTTGGCATTTCTGCACCGGATTCATTTTGGACCCTTTGGGGCAGCCAAAGTCCTCCGCAAAATACTCCATATCGCTTAAGGGGCCGATCACTCGGTAGCGATCAGGAGCGTGCTCATCAGTGATCACCAGCTGACGCAACTCCTCCACTCTGGTAGCTGAGCACCAGGTGAGGGCGGCCGATATCCAAAACATTTGCCGCCCGTTGAACTTAAGCCCGGGCAAAAAGGGCTCGTTTCCGTTGCGGCCGGTCCACTTCCGGTACGCTAAGTAGGACTCCTTAATGCCCCCGATATCCGCTATGTTTTCCCCCTGCGTGTTTATCCCATTCAGCTGCAAGAGGAAGGTTAAGCTGGTGTTAGTTCAGTCCATGCAGAAGACGACTTGATTCGACGATGATTAGTTGCAGGATAATGTCGGGTTAGAACGTGTACAAGTGGTTAGTGGATGGACGCCCTTATTAGGACACAAATGTTAAAGTTACAGCTTGCTACTTCTAAACGGATTTTTCAAAGCAAGATATTTAACTGGGTTTTAGAACGTCATTTTGAATACGCATTGCTGGTGAAATTGGTTTCTAAAAAAAATCGCTCGGCGGAATGTGCAAGTCCAAACTTGCTCAAGTGACACTACAAGGTTTTGTGATATTTCCGGTTCGATTTTTAGGTCTTTATTGCCTAATTCCGAGTTATGATTTTATAAATCCGCAACGTAACCTATGATTGACTATGCAACTACAGTTGGGGCTTGAATTGGGGCATTTTCAAGAAACGTCCTGCTGAATGTTCTAGTCCAAACCTGCTCGGGTAACAGTGCAATATAGTCACCAGTTTGGACTTGAACATCCAACAGGAATATTTTTCACGATTTCTTAATCCTAGCTCCGACTATAGTGCACGTTGCAGTAAAATTTTAATCGGAACTATTTAGGATTAAAATTTTAGGTTTCTATTAGCACTATTTTTCGAATTATGATTTTTTATCAGCAATGTGCACTATAGTTGGAGCTTGGATTAGGAAATCGTCAAAAATTTTGTATAAAAAAAGCAGAAAGATTTTCACGATTTTCTGATCAAAGCTCCGACTATAGTGCACGTTGCAGTAAAATTTTAATCGGAACTATTTAAGATTAAAATTTTAGGTTTCTATTAGCACTATTTTGCGAATCATGATTTTTTATCAGCAATGTGCACTATAGTTGGAGCTTGGATTAGGAAATCGTCAAAAGTTTTGTATAAAAAAAGAAGAAAGATTTTCACGATTTCCTAATCAAAGCTCCGTCTATAGGGCACGTTGCAGTAAAATTTGAATCGGAACTATTTAGGATTAAAATTCTAGGTTTCTATTAGCACCATTTTTCGAATTATGATTTTTTATCAGCAATGTGCACTATAATTGGAGCTGGGATTAGGAAATCGTCAAAAATCTTGTATAAAAAAAGAAGAAATATTTTCACGATTTCCTAATCAAAGCTCCGACTATAGTGCACGTTGCAGATAAAAAATCATAATTCGAAAAATAGTGCTAATAAAAACCTAAAATTTTAATCCAAACTATTTAGGATTACAATTTTATGTTTCTATTAGCACTATTTTTCGAATTATGAATTTTTATCTGCAATGTGCACTATAGTCGGAGCTTGGATTAAGAAATCGTAAAAAGTTTTGCATAAAAAAAGCAGAAAGATTTTCACGATTTCTTAATCCAATTCATAATTCGTAAAATAGTGCTAATAGAAACCTAAAGTTTTAATCCTAAATAGTTCGGATTAAAATTTTAGGTTTCTATTAGCACTATTTTTCGAATTATGAATTTTAATCTGCAACGTGCACTATAGTCGGAGCTTGGATTAAGAAATCGTTAAAAGTTTTGAATAAAAAAAAGAAGAAAGATTTTCATGATTTCTTAATCCAAGCTCCGACTATAGTGTACGTTGCAGATAAAAAATCATAATTCGAAAAATAGTGCTAATAGAAAGCTAAAATTTGAATCCGAACTATTTAGGATTAAAATTTTAGGTTTCTATTAGCACTATTTTTCGAATTATGAATTTTTATCTGCAACGTGCACTATAGTCGGAGGTTGGATTAAGAAATCGTGAAAAGTTTTGAATAAAAAAAAGAAGAAAGATTTTCACGATTTCTTAATCCAATTCATAATTCGAAAAATAGTGCTAATAGAAACCTAAAATTTTAATCCGAACTATTTAGGATTAAAATTTTAGRTTYCTATTAGCAYTATKWWTYGRATTAWGAAWTYKTGAAAATCTKYMWTSTGYWYTWTAKKCRRARCTTGGWTTRMGAWWTCKYAATCMAAGYTYYGMMTATARWRMASAWKRMAGATTTTCAMRAWTTCWTAATYCRAWWMATARTGCTAATAGRAAYCTAAAATTTTAATCCTAAATAGTTCGGATTAAAATTTTAGGTTTCTATTAGCACTATTTTTCGAATTATGAATTGGATTAAGAAATCGTGAAAAATCTTCCTGTTGGATGCTCAAGTCTAGAACTCTAATCACTTATAGTCTATATCAAGCAGCTCAGTTAGAATAATTTGAAAAATTGCAGCGCTTTGTGCAGTTTTCGGCTCAATTTCTATATCTTTACTGGCTCCGCTTCACAACTAGTTTTGAAGCTTGAATTAGAAAAATTCCAAAAAACGCCTTGTTGAGTGTTCAAGTCCAAACTTGCGCATATAATTTCCGTTTATCGGCACCACTATTTTCAACTCTTTAAAAGTAGAACCAACATGGCAAAATCCAACTTCCTCAACCTTGTCGATTAACAACTACATGATGCTTTTGGCATGGGAAAGGTGGTTTTATACAAAGTGTCCGTCTAAAGAAACTAAAGTACTATTGATTATGATAAAACTCTTAAAAGTAAAACTGGCCTAAGAAGTGTCTGGAAATTATTTTTAAGTGATGTTGTGGTTAATTAGCGACAGCGATGATAATCAGTAATTATTTAGGTTGGTGGGTTTTTCGGTCAATAGATGGCGGCAACAATAAAACACTATTTTTTCATGGACCCAATGGGTATGAAAAAATAGTATTTTATTGCCGCTATCTATTGACCGAAAAACCCACAAACCTAAATAATTACTGATTATTTCTAAGGTTGCAGCGCGATAATTTGGACGCGTAAATGCTACCAAGAAAATCGTCTTTACGCAAATCATACGCTTGAAATTGTTTTACCCTGAGCAAAATTTAATTGTCCCGCTAATAAAACTCCAGTTCAATAGGGAAAAAATCATACAAAATTTCGGTATTTATTAACTTAACTTTAAGAACACGAAATGCAGATTGAAGGCTCAAAAATCTCCACTGTTATTCGGAGTTTATCAGCTCCTTCCTGAGCGAGTGGAGGGTTTCAAAGAAGCGAACTGTGCAATATAAAAATGGCCGCAGCTCCAGGCCCTTCACTAATTTCGCTCATTACAAAACTATGTTCAAACACTCGAAATCTCCGTTTTATTCATGTTTTCAAATTTTCAAATTCGGCCCTTAATTGGGCGCGTCCTAAGAGGTAAAGTGTATGGCATGGAGCGTTTCAAAATATGAACTTCCCCGTTTCAATCCGGTCGTACCTCTAACRATGACGCRCATTTTTGGCACCTGAAAACCGCATTCRAAAGTTCAAAATAGCCGTATTATTTATGTTTTTGTTTAATTGAGAAAAGCAAATAATTGGAGTTGTTTATAGGTGAAAAGTGGCAAAMMAAACGAAGTTTCCCGGATAGAAATGGTCATAGCTCCATCGTTTTTTCTATSGTTTTGCAGAGTGTGTGCAAGCTTTAAAAAGCAATGAAAGCCGTCCACAGTTCCAACGTCTTTACACAGTTCAGGCATCTATGAACTTTGTTTGAAAGTCCAATTCTTTTACGTAATTGAGGTTTTGGAAATTTTAAAAGGTGAAGAGTGTTGGAGCATTTCAAAATGCAATATTTTTATATTAAATTCGTTCGGAGTTCCAGCGTCGTTCCGAAAGTCCGCTATTCAAAAACGTTTTTGGAAAGCCGAATAGCTTGACTTTGTTGCAGCTTTCAAAGTTCGAAAATCGTCCCTTAATTGGACGCGCTCCAAGGTGAAGAGTATTGGAGCATTCCAAATTGTAAATTTTTTCATTAAGTTCATCCGTAGTTTCAGCGTCTTTCCGAACTTCCGGTGTCTGAAAACTTCGTTTGAAAGCCCAATAGTTTGACTTTCTTTCGGCTTTGAAAATTCGGAAATTAGTACTTAATTAGGAGCGAACCAAGGTGAAGAGTAGATAAGTTCTATATTGTTGAGGCGGATTCATTTTTTACAAACTTCTTTTTGGATATTTCGCCTCAAAAATTATTGTCTTTAAAAAAGACAGAATTTCCTCACGTCTTTTATTACAGATTGATAAATAGTGCTCCTATTTTACAATAAGAACGAATTATTTATCAAAAAGTAATCAA